TTATTTCCGGCATTTGACCATTTTAGGGTCTTGTTATTGTAAAAAACAAATTGATGTCAGTTTTTAATGCATCTGTCCTTTTATTGATGATAAATTTTGTAATAACATTGTCAAAGTTTACTGTGGAACCACTTGCCCTTTGACAATGTTGTGATGCAATTTATCATAAATGAGAAGACAGATGCATAAAAAACTGACGTCAGTTTGTTATAGACACTTTACACAAGTGGAGTCTATATCTAATAACAGTATCTATACGTCCCAACCCTTGCATTCATGAGAAAAATCCTTTGTCTGGAAACATCATCACAAGGCTTAGGAGTTATGTGCCATTTATGCAGTGTCTATGACTGTAAACCCTAGGATAATGCTTCTATCAGTGTTAATGCATGAGGGTGGGCTGCAATTGAAAGGAAGATTTGAGCTTAGCTGACATTTTCTGCGCAGACACCTTATATCGGGGTTTTTAACAATGGGTAAAAGAGTCATTAAACATCAACGAAAATATAAAACTTTAAGGTAAAAGCCGTTAAAATTATAAGTCTAAACGTTTTCGACCTGTTTGATCATCATCATTACTCTGATGATGATCAAACAGATCGAAAAAGGTTTAGACTCATAATTTTAACAGCTTTTTACCTTTAAGTTTTATATTTTACTTTTATTGGTGAAATGTATACATCAATGAAAATATATTAAAATGCAATATCAAATAAATTCTTATTGGTTTTTGGAGCCATTAAAACCTAGTTCTTATGCAAGACACTTGTCTCTTGCAGGTAACTGCTCTCAAATCCCTCCCCACTGGCATAACCTTTCATTGGTGCATCAGTGTGCAAACAAAATCATTCAATAAGGGCCCTGAGAAGGTCACAGTTATTGTAGATATGCAGGGCTGTCATTAAGATCTACAATCCACAACACCTGGTTCGGTTGGATATGGTTAATGGAGATGAGTGAACTTGCTGATGTAGTTCACCCACAAAGTAACAAGGTTGTTTTAAGTGTGAAGATCATGGCAAT